AATATACTGACATTCAATAAGTACGTACATACTTTTACGAAAATGGGGAGGAACACCTACGTTTGTATATTTGCTAAAAGGATGTTGATTAACTCATTTGGCGTACTGTACATACTTAATGAATGACTCAATAATATTAAAATTCTCAGCTAAAAGCGTAATAAATGAGCCCATATTTAGACGACTTGTCTGTCCTTCTTGACGATCATATAAGCAAAATAAGCGGTCAATGAGACCACTATAATGGTGGGTATATTGATGAACATGGGCAGGACGAACAGGTTGCGAACGATGCCAATGACCCCAAACACCAGATACACGAATACAATATTCTTGTTCTCACGTACGATACCGATGAGGACTATCACCTCAAACACGGTAAACACGATCACAACTATTCCCATAACTGTTGCGAGTGCTTCTAAACAATCATTGTATAGAATATTCTGTGAGATTCTGTAATATAAATAGTTACAAGTGTTTCGATAAAATCATGGACACTGGTCAGTATTTGGGCAAAACATTGTTAATATTAAATATGAACATGTTCAGATTTTATCGAAACTCATATAACATTATTTTCAAAAATTATGATATAATGGTGACTGACTGTCATCGACATCGACTTTCTCGTTGTTATGATCCAAAGTAATTGTCTTATTATCGGATGTCTTGTCGGCCGACAAGACAAAGAAGGCGGCGATAAACATATCGGCCATCGCGGCCTTTACTACCAGGGATATTGAGTGGATTACGATGAGGGTGATCTTGACACATCGAAAACATGGAAATTCGGCTTCCGGATTGAATCCGTCGTGAATTGTCTCCCCTTTCATTTGCATCATATTTGCTCCTTATTTACTTTAATATGATTTATATTGTTAAGAATATTCTTATAATTCTAGATAATTATACTATGGCTAGTAATTGTAGTATTAACTATTAATATACATACAATTCTGGTAATATTAGTAATTACAGTATATTATTCACAATTTTAAACAAAATTAATGTAAATATTTGAAACTTTTTTAGTCAGACATCATAACTGCAGTGAAAATCGATATAAAGTCTGCGATTTTGGGCGCTATACTCTGTATATCCAGTGTATGGTCGACTCAAACGCTAATATGTAAGCACTTAACCGTTATTTACAACCCTTTGTTCGTAGAATTTTATTTATATAACTTTATGCTCACACTATATAGCAGAGTGTCAAGGTCAATGGGACTGGGATTGCAGGGAAAGTAGCAATCATAATATGTCTGTTGATCTTAGACAGTATAGAGTCTCCCTATCCCACAGGGTGTCGAAAAATGATGGGCTCAAAAGGTGTGATCCCTGTCTATAACATGAACTGTGCCTGGGTCACATAACATACAGTAGTCCAATGTATTGATACTTGC